ATCCTCCTGAGGGACAGAAATGGGGACAATGGGGACAATGGGGACACAGTCAGGGACATGGGGACACAGTCAGGGACATGGGCATGGGACAGGGACACAATGGGGACACAACAGGGACACAATGGGGACACAATGGGGACACAATGGGGACACAATGGGGACATGGGAACGGAGCCACCCCCGCACGGAGAACGGGTTCCTGAGCAGCTCCTCCTCGTGCTGCACCTCCTCATCCTCCTGAGGGGACAATGGGGACACAGTCAGAGACAGGGGACACAATGGGGACACAATGGGGACAGGGGAACGGAGCCACCCCCGCACGGAGAACGGGTTCCGGAGCAGCTCCTCCTCGTGCTGCACCTCCTCATCCTCCTGAGGGGACAATGGGGACACCGTCAGAGACATGGGGACACAATGGGGACACAATGGGGACACAATGGGGACACAATGGGGACACCATGGGGACACAATGGGGACATGGGCAGGGAACAGGAGACATGATGGGGACACGGGCAGGGACATGGGGACACTGTGGGAACATAGGGACACGATGGGGACACGGACAGGGGACATGATGGGGACACAACGGGGACACAAGGACACAAGGGACAGACAGGGGATGGACAGAGAGATGGACAGAAGGATGGAGAGGGACAGAAAATGGACAGGGACAGAGTGGGGACAGAGCGGGAGGGGACAGAGGGGACAGGGACAGAGAGAGGGAACAGAGCTGGGGGTGACAGGGACAGGGTGTGACAGGGACACGGTGTGACAGGGACAGGGGACAGAGGGGACACAGATGGGGGAAATGAGGAGCGCGAAGGGTCAGGAGAGAGAACGGGGACACGGGGACAGCGATGGGGACTGGGGACAGGAGGGGACAGGAGGTGGCTCAGGGGACAGAAGGTGACCCGGGAGGTGACCCAGGGGACAGGAGGGGACAGGGAGGTGACCCAGGGGACAGGAGGGGACAGGGAGGGGACAGGGAGGGGACAGGAGGTGACAAGAGGTGACAGGAGAGGACAGGAGGTGACAGGAGGGGACAGAAGGTGGCCCGGGAGGTGACAGAAGGTGACAGGATGGGACAGGAGGGGACAGGAGGGGACAGGAGGTGACAGAAGGTGACCCAGGTGACAGGAGGTGACAGGAGGTGGCCCATCCCCGCACTCACAAAGCACAGCTCCGGTCGCTCCGGGCCCGTTCCCGCTCCGGGCCCCGCTCCCGCCTCCGCCTCCGCTTCCACCGCCGCGGGCTCCGGTTCCGCCACGGCTCCCGGCTCCTGTTCCAGCCCCGTTCCCTCTCCCGTTCCCGTTCCCTCTCCCGTTCCCGTTCCCGTTCCCGTTCCCGGCGGTTCCTCCCGCGCCGCCATCTCCGCCTCGGCCGCCGCCATCTTCCCGCGCGCGCCGCCTTCACTTCCGGCGCTCCGCCCTCACTTCCGCCGCCGCTTCAAACCACGCCCACGCCCCGCTCTCATTGGCCCGTCCCAACTCCGCCCCGCCCCCTCGGAGCTCGCTCAGCCAATAGAATGCGGCGTTGCTGSGCGCGCGGCCAATGGGAGGGCGCGGTGTTGCGGGGTGCGGAGAGGCGGAAGTGAAGGGACAGGGAGGAGACATGG